CGCGCGTCCTTACTTTCACACCGCTTAACGACAACAAATGATGTATCGTCCTTCTCCTGCTCCCCCCCTTGCTGCTCCTCCCGCCCCTGGTCCTTCTGTGTGTGTGTGTGTGTGTGTGTGTGTGTGTGAGTGAGAGAGAGAGAGAGAGAGGGTACTCCCATCGATAGGATGAGCAAAATCGAACAAATCACGATCTCCCGCTAGAACATGGAAATATACTCCACCACACCTTTTTTTTATCTTTTTTTTTTTAATGATGGAAATATACAGTGCCACACCACCTTCTATTCCCCCCTCTCCCTCCCTGAGATTCAAGCCCCGCATGTCCCCGGTCCCCCTCCCTCCCTCGATTCTTTCCAACGACTTCCCTTTGCCGACCTCCCTTCCCCGATTCCCCTCCCCATCTCGATTTCCCTGCCCGGACTTCCCTGCCCAGACTTCCCTGCCCCGACCTCCCTGCCCCGCCCTCCGCCAACCTCGATTCCCCGACCCCCCTCCCCCGACCCCCCTTCCCATCTTGACTTCCCTCCCTGCACTGACTCCCGCCCACGACTTCGCTTCCCATCCCGATTCCACTCCCTCCCCCGACGTCCCTACTCCGACGTCCCTACTCCGACGTCCCTACTCCGACGTCCTTACTCCAACGTCCCTACTCCTACTTCCCTTTGCCGACCTCCCTCCCATGACCTCCCTTCGCCGAGTTCCTTCCCCATCCCAGCGTCCCTCCCCTCACTTCCCTCGATCGATCCCCACCTCTCTCCCCCGATCCCGATTTTCGTCCATCGATCTCCACCTCTCCCCGATCCCGGCTTCCCTCCGCCGATCCCCACCTCTCTCCGTCGATCCCGACTCCCTCCGCTGACCCCCCTCCCCCGACCTCTGTCCGGCGACTTCCCTCCCCATCCCGGCTTGCTTCCCCCCCACTTCCCCCCATTGATCCCCACCTCAATCCCCCGATCCCGACTTCCCTCTCCGATCCCATTTCTCTATCCCGACCTCTACTTCCCCTGATTGCCACCTCTCTGCCCTGGTAACTCTTCCGCCTCCTCCTCCGGCCGTTGCTCCTGCTCTTCGCCCCTTCCTCCTCCCTCTCCTCCTCCCGCTCGTCCCGCCAGCGGCGCCCTCACACTACTTCCATCGATAGTATGAGCAAAATCGAATGAATCT